CCCCCCCCCCCACCATTTTTTCGTTCCATCTCACTTCACATGGAAGCTCTAATTCTATGAACATACAGTATAGTGTAAAGTAAGTATAGTCAGAAAGAAAAGTAACATAGTACATTGACTGTCATTTTCATAGTAGATACTTCGCCGAAGCAAGGGACACTCCTAGTAAATTTGTATCGGAAATTGGCATCGGCACAGTAGGATCCGAGTTTTTAATTTTTTCATGTGCATGTAATTTGAATAAATTAGGAGTCCCTTTGGCCCATAATTAAGGTTTGACTCCACCCATTAACTTTAGGAGAAATGTTGAACTCCATTCCCATTGAGTTAATTTGTTCTTTATCTCAACTTTAAGTGAGGAAAATCGTATGTAAATATAAGGCATCTTCGCATTAAAAAATTCGTTCTAAATATTCAAAGTAGGTCTTTCATATTAAAAGTAGGCCTGCATAATTTGTTGAAGTACACGTGTGCAAAATTTCAGTGCGATAGCTCATGAAACATTTTCACAATTCTCCTCAACGTTGACCTCATTATGCAAAGGTCGCACAGGCCATTTTGGATTAGTAATCTCGCCCCCTTTTAAATGGCGGAAAACGCCGATCCTTAGCTTAGGAAATATTCATTATTATCTCTATATACATCAAAATATTTGATAGCTTGTGTTTCAGAATGCATTTTGAAAACATTTAAACTACAATTTTTAAATTTGAGCTTTAAAAACCCGGTAGAGTCCATATTATTAGTGATCAGAATTGACCATGTGCAAAACGTCATGGGAAACCACAGCCATTTGCATAAAGCTATGCCGTAATACTACCGACTACCTCAAGTTTCATTCATAAGAGTTTGTCGTGTGCAAAAACTATTAACACCATTGGTCAGGGAAAGCTTAAGTTAATTAGTCATGTGCCAAAGTTGAAATTTCAAAATAAGTAGATACCAAATAACATTTTTGGGGGTACATTGCCTTATATAGACTATATAGCATTTACCGATATAATGGACGCTGAAGATTTGGTAAACAGAAAAGCCATATATTAATACATTATATTAAATTTACTGATATAAATAGTGCATAGTTAGATAAGCTACAATTAATCTATAATTGTTAACATTATTAAACTTATTTTTTAATATAGCTTTAGTTCTGAAAATAAAATTATCATTAAAACAAGAGTTATATAGCTCGTGACGCGAACAGCAGAATTGGGTACCAGAAAATGGAGATGTGGTCCATGTTAAAAAAGGACAAATTAAGTTGTACTTTAAAAATTCATAACTTAAAAACTACAACAGCTAAAAATATGATTTTGGTGTTATCATTCTTTAAGAAATTAGCTTTATTCAACTATGCCATTGGTTTATTTTTACAAAAAGTTTTAATTTTCTAATCAAAGTACCTATTCATAGTAATCATAGGCATAGGTCAAAGAAGTACTTTGGTAAACCAGTTTTCTGCTAGTGTCAAATAATTACAGAGTTACGTGCCCCTTGTTCAACTTTTTGTCCTCTTCAAAATGTAAACATTGCATATGCATTGGGAAAAAATGTGTTTTGTGGTTGTTTCTTTATTAAATAGGTAGTGTGATATATCATTTTAAAGAGAATTGGAAGCTGAATAATACTGTGTCTTCAGATTTTTAATCACAATTGAAAAAAAAAAAAAATATCAAGTTGAATTAAGCTAAGTCTACTACTTAATTTCTCGTAGAGACTCCACCAGACGCGATTTTCATGATAACCACTGTTTAGAGCATCCAATTATCTACAAGATTGGGCAAATTAAAAGTCCCCCCAACCTACCCCA